GCTCTTTGCCAAGGTAAAGTTCATTTCTCACCCATCTAGCTCCAATGATACCTTGTTAAGAATGCTAAATGTTGGCGAAAAAAATGTAACATACACTCTACATCCATCTCTTTTCTATAAGCTTGAAGATTAATCAGAGACCATACTGTCCTCAGGATTTTGTCTTAAGGCTTTCAGTTTTTTGGATCTGTAGATTTTAGAAAATTCTTATGTTTTCCAAAAATCATTCACATGTTTATACATACTTAAAGTTTTATCATTTGGAAGAAGCAGTCACGTAGTCCAGCCTAAAATTTAACCAGTAGACATTATACTTCATGTAAACTGAGCATAAGAGAGCCAATCTGATTTGAGGAAACACAAGTTATGATTATAGAGAAAGAAATACAGAGTGACACCAGCATAAATCATGCATTTAATTTCCTACTAAGTTTAACACAAACAAAAGAATAGACCGCATTTTTTTCCAGATACATCATACTTCTTTCAAATGATAACTATCTGTGATTAAATGTCTGTGTGTGGGTGTGGGCATGTGTGTTTGAGACCTTAACATGTCTAAAAATGTCTTCATTTAGGAACAATCATTTAGGTTTCTTAAATTATTTAGCCAATTATTCTCTAACTTACAAAAAGCAGGTGCTAAATATTCTGAGTAGAAAAAGAATTCTCTAACTTACAAAATGAGATAATTTCCATAAACATAATTTAACATCTCTTACAGTTCTGAGGTCATGTTCTGGAATATTAAATACACCCCTCTTCAGTCTGATTCTTAGTAACAGCTGAATGCAGCAAAGTTGATTGGGTTGGTTGATTTGCCCTAATTCATAACTGAGTTGATCCTGAAATCAGCAAAGTGAAGTGAAGTGACCAAGGTTTTGGCCCCCATGGACTTGGACACTGGAGATCAATTAGAGGAGAAAGAGGACTATCTAAGGGTTAGTGACTTAAGGTTCTACATATGAAGTATAGTAGTTCATCCTTCTGTCTTCTGACGGTAGAACCTGAGGAAATTAAGTATAAAATGTCTTATTCTGTTTTCACTGAAACGAGGTAATAGAAAAGGAAGAGGTCATATCTAAGCACTACTTATGCAAACAGGAAAATGTTTCACAAGAGTTGGTGAAGCTGTTTTCTGATTTCACCGTAGAGAGGATGACTAGCTGCAGGAGCTGTAAGGAACGAATATTATAAAGTGTTATCTGCTATTTCTTCCTCATAAATTTTGGCACATAAAGAAGAGATTCTCATTTCAGAAAGAGTTCTGGTTTAATGCAGGGACTATTGATCAGTGACATAATGTTATTGAAAGTCTGACAGACTATCAGAACACAGTTTGATGTTTACATGTTTTCTGTAATATATGGAATGTTAGCAGAGGATGGTGTCACTATAAAGCTGCTTTTTCTCCCACTATACAAACTGAAGAACTTTGGACAAGGTGAGTCATAGTAATAGAATTGATATGAGTTGATTTGGGTTTGTTTTAACCTAGAAAGCTATTTTGGAAATGTTGTTTTCCCATCATAAGGAAACTCTCTGCTGCATAGGGAATAGACAGTTCCACAACAAATTGGAAAAGCAAATGTAAATGTAAAAATGTAAAACAAGGTAACATGTACTTCTTAGTGTTGCACTATGTGTAGCTCTCAAACAATGTGACATTAATAAAGACAATTTCTCTGGGTCTGAGGACTCTCCATAGTTTACACAGGGACTGGGCAAATCACAGTGACACTAAGGACCTGCTATGTGCTGAACACACAGAACTCTGAATTCTCTTTACAGCTGCCCTATACATTGTTGACGTTGAGGTAGCTGAGTCTATGACAATATGCTATTGGTCTCCTGCTGATTCTCTAAAGGAGTTTTTAAAATGTTATGAGTTAACTATTCATAACATTTGCAAAATAAATTCAGGACCCTACAGTTGCTACATTTATGCTATTAGTTCCTATGAAATGAGGGCTTTTTTTTAACTCTATAAATTTCATCAATGTATCTTTTAGAATGAGAAAGAAAAAAATTTTTTTTCCTGAGGAATGCAAGCCCCCTTTAAACTATCAGGCCCAGAGAGACATTGAAAATGTGGCCGCAGTCACATCTCACTCTTCCTTGAGCAAGGTAATCGTCTCCTGAAGCTACGTGCTATGGGGGCTGTAGACTGACTTGTGTCCACTAGCCATGAATTAACCTATCAATGCCCTATACCACATATCCTATAGTTAAATAATGCATAACCAATCACTGATCAATGTTGTTTCTGAAATCAGTGAGATTTTCTAACAAGTTTAGAATTTGTCCCCTCTCCTGATTCCTCCCTTTCTTTACCTTAGAAACTTGGGTCTCTTCTTTGTTCTCCAGGGTACTTCCCAAGGAAGTGTTTCTGGGCTGCAGCCCTCAAACTTGGCCCAGATGCACTTTCTATATTAATTTGTCTCAGTGCCATTCTTTAAATCAACAAGAACGACCAAGGCAGTCACTAATCTTAGACTCACCTGGTAGCTACAGGAACAATATTTACCCGGCAATAATGTAACCAACAGAGTGATGCGTGCTGTAATTCCGTTGCATTAAATAAGGTCCCATGTCTAACAAGGAAAGCTGCTGGACAACAATGGAAATAGATCCTAAACTCAAACTCCAATATTTCATGACCTAAAAGTTTCAAGTTCTAGATTCACAGGATCCTAAAAGTAGCTACTCTCTTCCATTGCCCAACAACATGCCACTTTTCCATTTTTGGAAACAAAATCGTTATCGTAGTAAGTGCCATTAAACAATCTTTATCATACTCGGAGGCTGTGGTCTATGCAAGAAAGAATCAAAATGTCTCCCTTCAAAACAACTCCAGGATGCTACACATAAACTGAGACCCAAGTCAGCCTGTTCAGGGCTTGGTATTGGACACACCTCATGGGATCCTGCTGCCACATTTCTTCCCCTGGATTTAAACCTGGATTAAGTAAAGGAATTCAGAAAGGAAGACATACTTAAGTCACAAATCACAAATGTCCTCCTACTCACACTGGCGTTTCCAGTTGAATAGATTTGCAGGTGCTTGACTCTACTGTCACCTATGGTACTGAAAATCAGACTACAAGAACAAAGAGTGAACATCCTCTCTAATCTCCGTATGCTTCAAACAAGTCTGAAAATTTAAGTAGGCTTGATCTTTTGCAGCACAGCAATAATTACAGAATTTAAGTTGACTGAAGTGTTTTACACACAGGAAAGGCATTTACCAAATAATTACTAAATTGGGGGTACTGAAATGACTGAAAATTTGAAGCTGCTACACAGGATCAAAATGTGATTCTATCACTAACAGTATTTGAGAAGGTTATTGTTTACATCTACAAATACGACTTTAAATACTTGAAAACTGAAGATAAAATGCCTAAATTCACAGAATTTATGTTGTGGAAAGGTTGTAATAAATAACGTGAAGAAGAGTTGAAATAATTTATGGTACCTCAAAGACTCCTATATATGGTATAGATAAATAGACAATAGATAGGTAGATATGTACATACACACATACATGTGTATATGTGTGTGTGTATATATATATATTTTTATATAATTTACTGATCTGTTATATTTCCATTATGACACTACTTTTTGCTTCCAGCTGTGGCAAATACAATTTAAAAAAAAATAAAATAAACCTACTATGCGATCTGTGAGGTTTACTATGTATAATTTACTTACATGAAGAAAAGAATATTGTATGCGAATATCCATGCATTTGATATTGAGTTCTGTAGGTCTTCAACATCTGAAAACCTTATTAGGGAAGAGAGAATGTTTAAATAATATTTTAAAATTAATGTGAATCTTATCAGACTTACAAAACCTTTATAGTTCAAGGAGCGATTTGCATTGTGGGTACATTTTCAGGAAAGGCACAGAAGTGCCTGTCAGGAACATGAAAAGCAGAGTATCAAGGAGAGGACTGAGATTTATCTTGCTGGAATAGTGTCAGCTGGGGAGGAATGACCAGAAATTAAAGATGAAGAAGAGGGCTAGGTAATTCAGTACTTATAATTTAAGCATATAGAAAGTTTCTGAGTCATACATGACAGTTTCTATTGTAATTACGCCCTATTAGATAAAAACATTGGGGAATGTAGGTATTCCTGCCTTCCTCAGTTCCTGTGACTTGCCGATAACTCATAAGTGATGTGACTGGTTGTTGCGGAAAGTCAGGGACCCCGAACAGAGGGACCGGCTGAAGCCATGGCAGAAGAACATAAATTGTGAAGATTTCATGGACATTTATCAGTTCCCCAAATTTTATCAGCTCCCCAAATTAATACTTTTATAATTTCTTACACCTGTCTTTAATGCAATCTCTGAACATAAATTGTGAAGATTTCATGGACATTTATCAGTTCTCAAATTAATACTTTTATAATTTCATAATCTGTTCCTTAATGCAATCTCTGAACATAAATTGTGAAGATTTCATGGACATTTATCATTTCCCCAGTCAATACTCTTGTGATTTCCTATGCCTGTCTTTAATTTCTTAATCCCGTCATCTTTGTAAGCTGAGAATGTATGTCACCTCAGGATCCCGTGAAGATTGTGTTAACTGCACAAATTGTTCATAAAGCCTGTATGTTTAAACAATATGAAATATGGGCACACCTTGAAAAAAGAACAGGATAACAGCGATGTTCAGGGAACAAGGGAGATAACCATTAGGTCTGAATGCCTGAGAGCCGGGCGGAACAGAGCCATATTTCTCTTCTTACAAAAGTGAATAGGAGAAATATCACTGAATTCTTTTTCTCAGCAAGGAAGAGCCCTGAGAAAGAGAATGCATTCCTAGGGGGAGGTCTCTAAAATGTCCACTCTAGGTATGTCTGTCTTTTATGGTTGCAGATAAGAGATGAAATAAGCCCCAGTCTCCTGTAGCACTCCCAGGCCTATTCAGATGAGGAAATTCCTGCCTAGTAAATTTTAGTCAGACAGGTTGTCTGCTCTCAAACCCTGTCTCCTGATAAGATGTTATCAATGACAATGCATTCCCAAAACTTAATTAGCAATTTTAATTTCACCCCAGTACTGTGATCTCGCTCTGCCCCCATTTGCTTTGTGATATTTTATTGCCTTGTGAAGCATGTGATCTCTGTGACCCACACCCTATTTGTACACTCCCTTCCCTTTGAAAATCACTAATAAAAACTTGCTGGTTTTGTGGCTTGAGGGGCATCACACAACCTGCCGACATGTGGTGTCTCCCCGGACACCCAGCTTTAAAATTTCTCTCTTTTGTACTCTTTCCCTTTATTTCTCAGACCAGCTGACACTTAGGGAAAATAGAAAAGAAGCTATGTTGAATTATTGGGGGTGGTTCCTCCAATAATTGGCGAGGAGTTATCTAGAAAGGACTGCTTTAATTATCTTCTTTATCTTGCCGCCTACAGGGCTAGACTTTCTACTGAAAGACCTCACATGTATCTGTGACTTGCTGAGATGCTTACCAGAAACAATTGGGTAGGGAACATTCCATTCAGATATAAAAATTGATTCAACAAAACCTGCAGTGTTTGTGGAGAAACAATGCATTCTAAACAAACATTGATAAACTCAGTTCCTTCTTGTTTTTCTGTTGTGTTTCATTTCATGTTTTCTGCTTTGCTTTTGTTTCTATTTCTCTTTCAACACAGTTACAGCAGAAAGTTTTCATGGAGAAATGGAATCACACTTCAAATGATTTCATTTTGTTGGGTCTGCTTCCCCCAAATCAAACTGGCATATTCCTCTTGTGCCTTATCATCCTCATATTCTTTCTGGCCTTGGTGGGTAACTCGGCCATGATTCACCTCATCCAGGTGGATCCTCGTCTCCACACACCCATGTACTTTCTTCTCAGCCAGCTCTCCCTCATGGACCTGATGTACATCTCCACCACCGTCCCCAAGATGGCGTACAACTTCCTCTCTGGCCAGAAAGGCATCTCCTTCCTGGGATGTGGTGTGCAAAGCTTCTTCTTCCTCACCATGGCAGGTTCTGAAGGCTTACTACTGACCTCCATGGCCTATGACCGTTATGTGGCCATCTGCCACCCTCTCCATTATCCCATCCGCATGAGTAAAATGATGTGTGTAAAGACGATCATAGGCTCTTGGACCCTGGGGTCCATCACCTCTTTGGCACACACAGTCTCTACCCTCCATATTCCCTACTGCAGGACTAGGGCCATTGACCATTTCTTCTGCGATGTCCCAGCCATGTTGCTTATTGCCTGTACAGATACTTGGGTCTATGAATATATGGTTTTTGTAAGTACAAGCCTCTATCTGCTCTTTCCTTTCATTGGCATCACTGCTTCTTACGGCCGAGTCCTATTTGCTGTCTATCATATGCGCTCAAAGGAGGGAAGAAAAAAGGCCTTAAGTACCATTTCGACACATTTAACTGTTGTGATCTTTTACTATGCACCTTTTGTCTACACCTATCTTCGGCCAAGGAATCTCCGCTCACCAGCTGAAGACAAGATCCTGGCAGTTTTCTACACCATCCTTACCCCCATGCTCAATCCCATTATCTACAGCCTCAGGAATAAGGAAGTCCTGGGGGCCATGACAAGAGTGTTTGGGATATTCTCTTTCCTGAAAGAATAATCATGGCCTTCCCTACTCCCTTCGTATTTCCTCTTTCCAAGCTGATTTGAACACCCTAGAGCAGGGTTGTCCAATAGAAATATAACATAATTTAAAATTTTCTAATAGGTACATTTAAGCAGTCAAATAAATTTAAATAATATATTTAATTCAAAACAATGCTATAATTAATATTAATTTTAACATAGATGTTAATTACATAGCATACATTGTTAGTATGTTATATGCAATGTTATAGTACATGTCTGTACATATATTACCATTAATGTAATAATGCTTATACTCATATATTGACATAATTTCTACATGTAACAACACAAAATAATTAATGTGCTTTCACTTTGTTTTCATTCCAAGTCTTCAAAGTCTTGTGTTTATTTTATACTAGAGTGCAGCACAGCGTGGGCAAAACACATTTGAAATGCCCAGTAGTCACATGGCGTCAGTGTCTACAGTGTTGGACAGCATGGCCTTAGAGTATCCAAACAAAAGTTTTCAGAGTTTTTTTTATATGTGTGTGTGTGTGTGCATATGGTGTATAAAAATGTATCTTTGGTATATACAATTTTGCTGATGGGCTGAAAAGTAACAAGCACAACTCACATGCTAAAGTAGTGGTTATGTGTTTCTCTACCTGTTGGCTCATTTTCAGAATGTACACATTTATTGTAATTGCCATCTGGAGTCCATTTTATCCTAACATCCTTTAATAAAACTATTCAGGGAGACCTTATCTAAGTTATGATTTTACTGATTTCAATAAAAATATTGAGATCAAATAATCTGAAGAAGAATATAGGAACAGTTTACATTCATGTATACATACCAATTAATAAAATTATTTAAATAAAGTTATCAAAGTTATTTGTACTTAAATTATTTACATAAAGGCAAGGAGACAATGACAGGGTAGAGACAACATGCAACATATAAAATGGAAATTGGGATGTCAGGCTTCAGCTATGATTTGTAAAATATATACATGACTTTGCACAGGATGAAATCCTATGTTACTGTATCAAACATTGTGTTTAACAAAAGTTTTACTACTGTTATTTTACTAATTCACTTAAGTTACTTCAAGTCTATCAATGGTTGGGGTTATGGAGGGGTTTTATTTTTGTGGAAAAATTGAGACTTATAGTAATACATCCCTCTCATTTATTGCCCAAATTCAAGCTCCTAATATCTTTCTCTAATTTCTGACTACCTTCTTAAGTGTTTTCATGTCTTGAGTCCAGTTCTTACTTAGAATATAATCTACTCATTGTCATTTGAGTTATTTGTCTAAACATAGAGTTGATCTTGTCATTCTATAATCTATGATTCCTGATGGATTATCTAAATTTTGGAACCTTACTTTTTTAATCTCATATCCTATGTTTTTAAAGTGTGCATTGTGTCTCCCTTTACCTGTTTCTAGGACTCACACTCACTACCACAGTCACTCTATACCTCCTGCATTTCTCTGTAGCCCTCTATTTCCCTGCCTATCTGAACCTTATCACAGAGCATTTCTCACTTCTGGAAAGTTCTATTTTACGTAGCTTATGACTATCAATCTGAATCCCATATAATCAGTAAACATAATTCAAAATTTACATCCCATCTTCTCTTATGCATAGCTGATATCTCTTCCCCCACACTTCTACTCCTGTTGTGCTTATAACATTTTATTAACACTTACTCATTTCTGTTTGTGTCTTCTTTTAAATTGAAGCTCATGGAATATTTTAAAATTATAATAATTAGGATTAGAAGGCCAACTAATATTTAATTACTGTAAATGCATTTCCTGCATATATAACTTAATCTTCACAACACTATGGGGTTCTGATATTAGTTCCATGTTGAGTGAGCACTTCGAGGCTTGGTGAGGCAAAACAAAGAAACAAGAAAAATCCTGCCTTAGGTCAGAGAACTTGGAAGGGAAGAACACAACTTAGAAACCAGTTTTCTTTGAATCAGAGATGAGGCTACCCATGTCACCCAGTCTCTGCATGAACAAGACCCTCGTCATTCTGGTCTGAATATTCCCACAGAATGAAGCACTATGACATGCAATGAGGGGTGCATTTATTTGTGGTATGTTATTTATGTTTATTGGTATGCAACGCAAGTTTAAAGGACTTGTGATCATGCCACCTTACAGATCTAGGAAAAATATAAACAGATAGTTTCTCTACACAGAGTTAGAGTTCATTATTTCGAATTTCCTTTCACTCGAATTTTCCTTTTACTTCTTCAAATGGGTTATACATTCAGGGAGATACATTCCTCACTCCGTGATACATCTTACTCCTTTTTTCTAAATTCAAGAAGAAAACCTAAATTTTTCTGCTCTGAATATGACCGCTAGGAATAATTTTTGTGTTTTGATTTTGACTTTTTTTTTGGAGATTCTACCACTGCTTTGATGTTAAAGAATCACCAATGTTATAAGTCCTTATTTAGTAAAAAGTATAATATATCCTCATGTATTCTGGAGAAATTAAACAGTTTGATCAGGCTTTGTACAAAAACATATAATAAACCACAATTGTGATATAACACTGAGCATAAAAAATGGCTCCAGAATTTCTGCAAGAAAAGGCAAATGGAAGAATTTCTTCAAGCAAAAGCAATTGGAAGGCTGCTGAAGTTCATTCAAGTTAATTAACAAGAACCATATCACATAGGAAGGGTTCAGTATGTACAGTATATTATACTATTATATATAGTATACAATATTATATACCACTATATTATATAGTACATAATATTAATTTATTATATTAAAATAATAATTCAATTAATAATTTATTTGATTAATTTATTGTTAATTAATTAATTAATAAGGTATATATTGGACCCTTCCTATGTAATTTGGTTCTCGTTCCATCAGGTAAAATGATGGACAAACAGGTATAGTCTTTTACCTTGTGGAGACCACATGCTGATGTGAGCCATAAAAACATTAGTATATATTATCTGGTCAAACTGGGCAGTGATGAATTCAGGGAGAAAAGTAGTAAATGAGTTATTACACGGAGTCATCAGGTCCCTCTAACATGATGAAGGGGCTGGCCATGTCAACCTGATGGATAAAACCCACAAAACCCTCCGATGATTGAGATAGGAGGCAGTAAGCAGAAAGGAGTAGAAGACATAGATCAGGGCCTTCTCAGGGCCAGGTGAAGGCAAATAATCTGGATTTTATTCTAAATGTAGGAGAAAGCCTTGCAGGGAAATATTTTCTCAAATACTAACATCCACAGCTACTTGGCCAGTCACTTGGTGTGAACTCTGGGAAAATATCTGAACACATGGCAAAATGGGCAACATCACAGCCAATACTTCCAAACAGACACTCTGAGTTTTAAAGGAGTCATTTGTTTTATATCAAGGTTTAGTTTGATTCTTGGAGAGATATTAAACCTGAGGTGGCTCTAAAGAACCACGATTATTTACATCTGTAATTGTTCTCGGCATGTTTTTCTATGGCATGGGAGGATAACTAGAGTGAACAATAACGTATTGCATATTTCAAAATTGCTAGAAGAGAGTTTTGAATATTCTCATCACAAATAAATGATAAATGTTTAAGGTGATGAATATACTAATCATCCTGACTTGATCATTACGCAATGTATATGAATATCAAAACATTACATTGTCTTCCACAAATATGGTGACTGGTATTCAATGCCAGTTTAAGTCAATTGTGATTATGCCACATTTCAGAGCCAGGAAAAATATAAGCAGATACTGTCTCTACACAGAGACATAAATAACAATTTTAAAGTGAATAAATAAAAGAAGCTCTTCCTGGGAGGAGTCCAGATGCTACACTTTTCTGTTATTGTTCTTTCTCGATTCCCCTTCCAATTCCAAGAACAGATCAGTGGCATAATCACAGAGGGAAACAGGAATGGGATCTTATCATGACACATCTTAATGAAGTGGCCAATGACATTGAGGTTGTGAGTTTCTTTCAACTAAAAGATCCTAGCCTAGGACAGAAAAATGATGTTGAAAAATTGCATTCTGACTTCTCCCAGAGCAGAAACTATCACAAGAAAATGTTTGAAGTTTTTTGAATTGACCAATAATTTTACATATATTGGGGGTACAATATGATGTTTTATATATGTTTTTAATGTAAAATGATTATGTTAGGCTAATCAACAATCCCATTACTTCCCATATTTTTGTGTGTGTGTGCAGTAAAAACTTTTAAAATCCACTTTGAGTAATATTGAAATATATAATGCACTATTATTCATTATAGGCATCATGCTGTACAATAGATCAATAACACTTATTCCTCCTGTCTAACTAAAACTTTATATTCTTTGATCAACAACTCTTTTCCCATACACTCTTATCCTCTGCCTCTTGTAACCAACATTCTACTCTCAACTTTTCTAGATTCCACATGTAAGTGGGATCACTTAGTATTTGTCTTTTTTGAGCCTAGTTTATCGACATAGTATTTTGTTGTTCGGGTTGATCCATGTTGTCAAAAATGACAAGGTTTCCCCCATTTCTGAGGGCTGAATGAAATTCCATTGTGAATACTTGCTATATTTTCTATATCCATTCATCTTAAGATGGATATCTAGGTTTCTTCATATCCTTACTAATGTAAACAACACTGCAGTGAACATAGGAGTGCAGATATCTCTTCAACATACTGATTTCAATTTCTTTGGTTATGGAAATTGTATGGTAATACTACTTATAATTTTCTGAGGAATCGCCTTAGCTTTAGCTTACATCACAACCAACAGTGCACAAGGGTTTCTTTTCCTCCACCCCTTCACCAACATTTGTTATGTTATATCTTTCTGAAAATACCCATTATGACAATTGTGAGGTGATATCTCATTGTAGCTTTAATTTGTGTTTTCCTGATGATCAGTGATATGAGCGTTTTCTCGTATATCTGGTGGTCATTTGAATGCCTTCTGTTGAGAAGTGTCTATTTAAGTCCTTCGACTTTTTTTTGATTGTATTATTTGTTTTCTTGCTTTTGAGCTGTGTGAGTTCCTAACATATTTTGGATAATAAACCCTTAAATATTAAAATATTAAAATAAATTTGCAAACATGTCCTCCCAATCTGTGGGTTGCCTCT